AGAAGGAAGGAAGGAAGGAAGGAAGGAAGGAAGGAAGGAAGGAAGGAAGGAAGGAAGGAAGGAAGGAAAAGGAAGGAAGGAAGGATAGGAAGGAAGAAAGAAGAAAGAAAGAAGAAAGGAAGAAGAAGGAAGGAAGGAAGGAAGGAAGGAAGGAGGAAGGAAGGAAGGAAGGAAGGAAGGAAGGAAGAAAGAAGAAGAAGAAGAAAGAAAGAAAGAAAGAGAGAGAGAAAGAAAGAGAGAGAAAGAGAGAAAGAAAGAGAGAGAGAAAGAAAGAGAGAAAGAAAGAAAGAAAGAGAGAGAAAGAAAGAAAGAAAAAATTAGAAAGGAAGGAGGAGGGAGGGTAGGAGTAAGAGATGGAGGGAGGGCATTTATGCTCTTAAAAGTATAAATTAAATACATGAACCATGCCCACATCAAACCAAATTCTTCAAAATTTTAAAAAGAGAAAGGTTCTAAAATCTAAACCAAAACAATAAAAGAAATACAAACATTCATTAATTAAGATCAGATCCCACAGCTAAGATAGACACAGTAAGCTTTGGTAAGTTAATGCTCAAGGAAATTGTCTTCCCACTGTTTTATTTCAACTTACAAACCACCCAAAGATATATTACTTAAAAATTCTCACTGACTCCTTAAAATGCTGGCATTCTCCACCAACAAACTATAAACTCTCGCCAAGTTATCAGAAATTCTGTTTGCAGCTTCCTGTTTGCTGTCCTTAGGATCAACACCAGTCATATGCAACTGAAAGCTTTGGCCTCTGCTGCCCCCTCGTGGAACAACTTCGCTTACTTTCCTGAATTTCTCATAATTTCTGAGAGCAACAAAGTGCAGCCAAGAAACAGAGCGACACACAAATATTGCTGAGATTATTTTCCTTATATTCTACTATTCTGGAAAAGAATAGAATCATGAGTAAATTCCCATAGCACTTGAAATATAAAGAGTATCTGATTTGTGCCTACTTTCAGCTCCCAAATTTTTAGCTTTCAACTAGGCATTAAACAACAAATTGGTAATAACAGTTTAGTTTTCTGAATACCACCTTAAGACATAAACAGACTACTTGCAAGTGATATAACTTATCACTCGTCAGAATATACAAAGTTAAATCCATGTCCCTTGCCCACTTGTCTAAAAGGGCGATCACATTATTATATAACGCAATGGCTAAGAAAATAGAGGAAGATTTCTGAAATGCTACAATAGATCAAGAGTTTCAGACAGAGGAATAAATTAAGACAGAATAAGTACTTAATGCATCAAGTACCTGAATCATCATTTTGCTTTAGGAAGTCTCTCAACCTTGGTTACTTTGCTAATAAATTTATTTTTCTATATTCAGACTTCACAAGTTCAATGAAAAAAGCAAGCGCTATCTGGCAACTTGGCTTTTATTACAACCTGACACACAAGTTGTAATTACTACCAAATCTCAATTTAGCCTTTGTTCAACTCAATTATTCAGTCTCATGGCCATGAAACTTTCTAATTATCTCTAAGCCCATTCAATGGCAACTTTTAAACTACCAGAGAAAAAGTAAGCATTATATACACCAAACTTTACACTGAGTACATATAGAAAATAATCAATTCAAAATATACTTAACTGGTTACCAAATATAAGTTTAGTACTTTGACTGATTCTGGGCCCATCATGATGAATCAGTAACTAAAATCCTTGCCTTGCTTGTGCCAGGATCCCATATTACCATAGGTTCGTGTCCCGGCTGCTCCACTTCCCATCCAGCTCCCTGCTTGTGGCCTGGGAAAGCAGTCGAGGGTGGGACCCTGCACCCACATGGCAGACCCAGTAATAGCCCTTGCTCCTGGCTTCAAATCAGCTCAGCTCTGGCCATTGTGAGGGAATGAACCAGTGGATGGAAGCTCTTTTTTTTTGTCTTCTCTGTAAATCTGCCTTTACAATCAAAACAAATAAATCTTTAAACATACATATTTTTTTCAAATTTGCATTCTCTCTAGACAAAGTCCCTGGATGCTGTCCTCAAGCTTCTTTCTGCATGGTGCTAAGATGCGACTGAATGCTCACTGTAAACGTGCTCAGTCATGAACTGCGTTCAGTTTTCACCTTTCCAGAACCACGAGCTCCAAGATATTTCCACTTCAGGGACCATCTGACATTATCCTAAGATGTCGGGAGACTTTGAAACACCATTAGTCACGTATTATAAGGCTGTAAATCTGCTCTGCCCACACCCACGCTGCTTGCACCTCCAGAAGACACGGGAGCCCCCAGCCTAATACGCTTGAGACACCTGAACTACGCAGAAGCCGCAGGACCACAAAAGGCAGAGGTGTGCACGGGCCCACGTATTCACATACCACAAGCTTACTGAGAATTAAAGAGATTCACTCTACCAACCACCACTGACAACATCGTCCAAGATCTCTGTGGATAATAATCCAAAACATACTCAATACGCTAACCACACCTGAGACACTGCACATCTTTATCAATGGAAGGCAAATAGGCTGCCACTCTTTTCATGCTCCAAGTTACACAGATAACAAAAGGAAACAGAATCTTTGTACACAACGCCATACACAGAATCTACCAATTCTAATTCTATTACTGGTTCAAAATATGGCGATTAAGCCTTACTTTTAAAACTTCTAGCACAAAAAAACTCCTGTTATAATTGTCTGTCATCATTCTTCTACTTCCTTCCCTTTTAAAATTAAGAGGAAAACTACATCTAAGTGAGGACATTTGCATTACAATCATGTTAAAACAGCCCACAATAAATGTTTAAACCAATTCAACACCTTTAAATCATCAGACAATTAAACACTCATTTTATGAAAATCAGACAAAAACAAAGAGTTCTACTTCTTGTACAGTTACAGGAGAGCATAAAAAAGTCAACAAAAACATGTTTTATTTTTTCTTTTAAAGACATCTAAAATCTACAAATAGATAGAAACGTAAAAACTACACTTAGGGACCGACACTATGGCACAACAAGTTAAACTGCTGCTTGCTTTCCCTGCTTGTGGCCTGGGAAAGCAGTCAAGGACGACCCAAAGCCTTGGGACCCTGCACCCATGTGGGATACCCGGAAGAAGTTCCTGGATCCTGGCTCGGATTGGCATAGCATCGGCCATTGCGCTCACTTGGGAAGTGAATTATCAGACGGAAGATCTTCCTCTCTGTCTCTCCTCCTCTCTGCATATCTGACTTTCCAATAAATGAATAAATCTTCAAAAAAAAAAAGCTATAAAAAAAAACTGCTGCTTGCAATACTGGCATCCCCTATCAAAGTGTAATTTGAGATCAGCCACTTCACTTCATATCCGGTTCCTTAATATAATTTAGAAAGCACAAGAGGCTAGCCCAAGTCCTTGCTCCCCTGTCACGCACACGGAACACGTGGGGATGGAGTTTCTGTCTCCTGGCTTCCTCTCGGCCCAGCCCTACCCCTTGTAGCTATTTGGATGGGAGATGACTCAATCAATCCTCTGTGTTCATCAAATAAATTTTAATTAAAAAAAAAAAACTGAACCTCAAAGTGACTGCCTAGACAAGGCAGAATTAGAGCAAACTTTAACCCCTGAAGTGGTGGGCAAGTGGGAAAGCTCATCTGCCAGACAGGCACAATCCTTGCTTAGAGGGAAATTAAACATTTGAGGCCAAAAAAGTATACCATCCCCAGAAAAGATTTAAGCTGTAGCTTGAAACAAGAAGCAACACAGTTGGTTCAATTAGTCCAATACTGATCCACATTGTCAGGAGCCAGTGATTCAGAGCACCCATCTGTGCCTGATCACAATTAAACAAAACTTGGATGTGATGAATATTCAGTTGACTTCCAGTTCTTAACCACCACAAACACCACCAGCAAGACAAGCATCTTTACTAAAACTCTTCATCTTATTAAGATTAGTGTCCAGATGACCAATTTCTGGATGCAGAATTAATGATGTAAAAGAAAGAGCTCTAAGGCTTTTGGCAACTATTAACCAGTCAAAATCCCACCAGTACCATACAGTTCCCAGCTGCTCTGTAACCTCTGACACGGACAATCATGCAAGCCTCTGCGCTCAGACACCTCTCTGTGCCTTTGGTCTCGAAGGGCTGTGCTTGCTGTCTTTTCTAAACAGTCACCACAGCTCCGAACAAACACAGGGTACTTCTCGGGGAAATGAGGAGAGAAGGCCAAGGAAAGAAGAGGGAGTACCTGGGAATGGCCACCAGCAAAGCCTCCAATTTTTGTTAGGAAGAAAGGGGGAAGGAATTATGACAGCAAACCACCCTGCATCCTAGCAGAGCCTCTACCAAAGAGAACGCAAGATGTCCCCTCAGGCAGCCAGACTGCCTGGGCTTCAGGCTGGCTCAGGAGCATTCAACATTCCAAAGCCTGAGTTCCCACCTGAGAACAGAGGCCACCAGGTTCAGTGAGATAACAGTGAGCAGTTTTGTGAACAGTTAGTAAAATGAAAAACAAACTAAAAACAAAAACATGTAAGATTTATTAATTTTTCTGGACACTAGTGCAATTTTTTTAAAATACTTATCTGTTTTGATTGTAAAGGCAGATTTACAGAGAGAAGGAAAGACAGAAAGATTTTTCATCCACTGGCTCACTCCCCAAGTGGGCATGGCAGCCAGAGCTGAGCCAATCTAAAGTCAGGAGCCAGGAATCTCCTCCAGGTCTCCCATGTGCGACTAGGATCCCAAGGTTTTGGTCTTTTCTCTACTGCCACAAGCAGGGAGCTGGATGGGAAATGAATCGCCAGGACACAAACCAGCATCCATGTAAGATCCTAACATGTGCAAGGCTAGGATTTTAGCCACTGAGCCATCACACCAGCCCAGTGATACAACCTATAACCGCTGAAAGGCTGTTTTCAACCCATATACCACAAGACGCCAAAACCACATTTACATACCAGAATGTCTCTGTTCTTTGAGTAGGGGCAACATGCTTTATTATTAGGAGAACACCAAAAGCAAGAAAATGAACCTTCACACTCACCTGGCTGTTCTACCTGCTCTGTGAATATACGTGTTGGCATCCTCTGGACAGTCAAACTGAAGAACCCAATTCACAGCCGGAAAATCTATAAAAAAGGAATTTTAAGTTAAGAAAAAACAGTTGAAGATCTTCCCTGCCTTACTGTTTTCATTTTAAAATATTGCCTGCCAGGGTTTTCGACCACATCAAGCTGACAGATATCAATTGGTAAAATTAATTGCATGAGCCAAAAAGTAATAAAAACTATTCTTTGACAAAGTAAACCTAAATTAATGACAGTATTTGAACGTGAAGCTTATATGACACAAAGGAGACAGATTATTCTATGTCAGACACATAATGAAACACCCTTGTATCTAACAACCTCGAAGAGCCACTTTTCATGGAGTTCCAGTGAACTGCAAAACTGGTTTCTATATTTAACTGAAGGTTTACTTTTCTGCTATTCTCACTCCTGTTTAAATTAATGTTGTCTTCCCAGTACCCTCCCTCTGTTTTTTAGTAGGAAACACTCCATATATAAACATCTGACTATCGTAGGAGCCATTCATTATCGGAGAATCCTGCTTTTTCAACCTCTTAAGTAACTTTAGTCAATCATGGATTTTGCTACAAAAATTTCAGATCAACTTCACTCCAAAGGACCACTTAAAACCCACACTAGAAAATAATGATGCAAGCATCAAAACTATCACTAAGTCATACACAGCTATTCACAAGGTTACATTTGAGTATGAGGAGGAAGAACCAAGAAAAATGGAATAAAGCTCTCAGGATTTGAAGAAATCAGGCATTTTTCATGCTTTAATATTCCTCTGATGATTCAAATGCCCTAAAATTCAAGGCTGTAATTATCATGAAATTAAGGGCAGAAAAATTGCAAATATTACAAAAAGTTTCACTGACAAACTCTTAATGTTAATCAACTATTACCAATTTATTTGAATATATCAGACTTTAACAAGATAAACCTTACAAGCAAATTATGTTTCCCATGATCATATAAATTTTTCCCTAAGAAGTTTCTTCACCTAGGCCCCTGGCAGCAATATCAGTAGCAAACAGCACTGCAGCTTTCTTGCGGACAAACTCATTATAGACTTCCATTCTTCTCATCTGTTGCTGTCGGCCATGGAGGGCAAGGATGGAGATGCCAGGACGCAGCCGACAGAACACTCGATACAGATACTGAACCTGGACATGGACAGGAAAAGCAGCTTCTTACTTCCAAATGCCAACACTAAAGTTTACAACAAAAATGTTCAAGGAGCACAAATGCCACCAATAAAAATTTATTTTAACAAAATGTGACTATGAGAAAGGCAAATGCAGTCTAGAGTCACGGTCTTCAATTCTGCTCACATATTCTAGAAGATAACTTCCAAATGTTCTTACATTTAAATTAACAGTTAAAATCCGTCCAAATTTGCATAGTTTGAACAACAGAATTTCTGACAATGTTATTTTAAACTTTATCAATATAGCCAATGGATTCTAAACAGCATAATTATCTGAAACCTCATCCAAACAACCAAAAAGCATGAAGAAACTCCTTTCCTTTCTTCATTTAACTCTTATTTCTATTTCCTGTCACCAGAAAACAACATAAGAACTTCTGAGTCTGGAAGTCTTTCACTGGTCATATTAACATGCCATGTGGTAGAAAATTATCAATTACCCATTCAGAAGCTATACTAACTTCTCACACTGACCAAGTATTTTATATGGTATAGAGCCAAGCATACAAGAGATGTTAGAACTAGACAAACAAGTGCTAGCTAGACATAAGTATTGCTAAGTACAGCACAATCTATCGCACTACAGGGAACAGATTGTTTTCATTTCTCTTTAGTTTAAGTGCTCTTATAAGAATACAAAGCACTGCCTCACTGAAGCCAAACTCATTTTATTCCTACTTATTTTTTGTTTTGATAAACACAGCAAAGGAACTTAAAGATAGTTTAACTCTGAATTGTTATAAATTCATGCCTAAATTAATCACAATAAATGCCTAAATCACTAAATAAATGCCTAAATCACTAAATAAAAATGCCTAAATTAATCACTATCAAATATCACCTAAAATCTGAAATAATCAGCCAATAGTCCCACTAAAATCTTTCAAGTTAAGAATGGGAAACGACCAGGGGCACACAGTAACAATTACTGGGGCCAATGACTTTCTCAATAGCAATGCTCCAGTGCCAGGAAGATTCTCCTGAGTGAGGACAAAGCACCAGTAAGCGAAAAGCTCAGGGGACCAATACTTTGCTTTCTTAAACACAGAAAGAACATCATCACAAAAGGAGAGATGGGAAAGGAAAGCCCACAGACCCCAGATGCCCTGGGACTCATCAACCTCAACAACAGAGCTTATGACAATTAAGTTTAAATTCAGTTCTGAAAACCTTCCCATGCTCTGCATCTCTTTAAAATTAACACTGACCTTAAATTTCTGCTGTTTAGTAACAGGTGCAAGACCTCAGAGGACTGAAAACATGTAGGTCCCTTTTCTGTATGGGGCTTAATTTAATTAGAAATCTTCAGGTTTAACACTTACCATAATCCTACAGAACCCCAAATATTTCCCCAGTTAGAATGAAGGAATACAGGACAGGCATTCCAGACAGATTAGCATGGCAAAGAGGCACGGAAATAAGTGGTGCATTCAGTTTCATATTAACAGTGGAGAAGGCAGATGGTGAGGGCCACTATCTTTCCGACATCATTAGCACATAAGACAATACTGAACAGACATACTTTCTGCCCTTGTGGAGTTCTACAGGCTCATCCACACAATGTCTTCCCACAAACCAGAGTTTCCTCATCTACAGATCCCTGACCACAACTACCACTGCATTTCTCACACAATTATTACTTTTTCTCTTATAAACACAAGCCATATACTTTATTTCTTGATTTGTCATAGCTCTTTTATTTTGATATTCATTATAAAGGTGAATGGACTGCAGACCATGTCAGCATCCAATATGGATGGAGAGGGTAGGGATGACAGAGGACCAGGAAGAAGGAGTCAGGGAGCGAAGGGGAAAAGATGGATGAGATAAATGTTTCAGATTTTCCTCCTATATGGGGGCAGGAGGGTCTGGTTATAATCAAATTATTAATCTAGCTGAAATTTATTTGAAGAAGGATAGTTCAACAGGAATTAATTTAAAAAAAAAAAAAAAGCAGTACCTACCTCTTTGCAACTGGAGAAAAATACAATACTCTTCTTCTTCAGGTGGCTTCTCAAAAAGGAGTACAGCACACTTATTTTTTGCGGCAGCTCACACACTATATAGTTTTGTTCCAAAGTGGCAGGAGTGCTTGTTAGAATTAAAAAGGAAGAAAAATTAAAACTATGCCAAGCAAACAAAAAGTTTATTTATGGCATATCTGAAAAATACACAAAAAGATCTTCCCTACTGTCCTTTCAGAAGTGAATACAATGCATCACTCTAAAGAGAGAAATGGCTGAACAGGGCACAACTGACCGAACTTCAGTTTTTTGGGATATGAAAAGAAAAAAGGACCACATTTTCAGGGTTCTGGCTGATTAAGATTTTCAGTAAAGAAGTGAAAATACAACAAAACCTCCATGGTACTGAGACACTAGTGCAGACAGCCATGTGAGGAGCCACCTGCCACCTGTGAGCCACCAACTTACATCCACCAAGGAAGGAATTACCGTTTGTAGTTTCCGTTGAGAGGGAATGCCCCGGTCACCCACTGACTTTTACTTTGACCTGGGGAACTGTCAGGTCTGAGCAACTACTAAGCATGGGGCGGGGAAGCTGTGTCAGTTCTCTCCCCTTTGCCACCTCGACAGAGAACCATTCTTGGCAGTGAGAATCATGCAACTTGCCTCTGTTCCTCTCCTATCAACATCACAGTCAGAAATTAGGGCACCGCATGAGGCAAAGGACAAATTCTCAGCATCCTGCAAACTGTGCGAGTTTAGGAGCATCAGCCCCAGAGCTACACTCATGAACTCTACACGAGCCAGGAGGATTTACCAGAGATGCTGGGGTCAACATGAGAAGCAGCCCATAGGAAAGTTTGCTCCCATCCTGGGATACCTGAGAAACAACCCCACTACAGTCTGCAGCACCATGACTATTAGTTCTACATTTCTCAATGTCACTGTAACCTACCACCTCTCTGGGCTCACCCCCTACAGAGCAGAAATCCCTGTACCTCACAGTCACACTGTAGGACTGGAGCAGAAACCTAGCCCCAAGTCCTACAATGCTTACACTAGGCGGCTATAAGCCAAAGCACTTGGACTCCCTTAGCAGGACCTGAGGACCACAGTCACAGAGCCACAGCACTGAGTGCCACAAGCCCTGCAATCTCTCAGGTTTACCTGCTGGAACAACAGAACAGCCATTTTCGTCTTCCTCAGCACCAAAAACAAGACCCTGGCTATCACAATACCAGAGAGACAGAGACTGAACTGGACCAGAGACACACATCCTAGAAACCCATATTCTTCTCAATATGTCACTGTCATCCCTACAAACTGAAGAACAGAACAGTGCCACATATACACAAATGACATTATAAAGACAAAAGAAATCACTCAGATATACTCCAAGGCTCACCCAGAATGAAAGCCAAAGCAACAAGCCAAATGATATTCTGCATTCCAGCTAAACAATAAAGCTTTTTCCAATAAAACACACTGCACAAAGAAGGAGGGATGATTGCACCACACGTGCAAATGTTAATGTTGGAGCACAGGAAGAAACAAGAAAGCAAGAAGCCACCTAAAAGAACACAACAATCCTCCAGCATTAAGCCCCAACTACAGAAATCTACAAAACAACAGATACAGGACTCAAAATCATTATAAGGATACTCAGCAAGATGCAAGAGAATACACACAGATTAAAGAAAAAATAAATGAGTGACATAAATGAAAATACTAAGGAGATAGGACTCAGTATGAAGAACTAGATGGAAATATTGAAGATAGAATCTTTCATCAGGGCCCACGATAATGGTTCAATGGCTAAGAACCTCATCTTGCAAGCAATGGGATCCCATATGGGCACCAGGTCATGTCCCAGCTGCTCCACTTCCCATCCAGCTTCCTGCTTGTGGCCTGGGAAAGCAGTGGAGGACGACCCAAAGCCTTGGACCCCTGCACCCACATGGGAGATGTAGAAGAAGCTCCTGGCTTCTGGCTTCAGGTCGGCTTAGCTCTGGCCACTGTGGCCATTTGGGGAATGAACTCCCCTCAGGAGACACAGAAGGAACTCTACGATCCTGGCTTCACATTTCTCTGTCCCTCTCCAACTTTCAAATAATTAAATAAATCTTCAAATAAATAAATCTTAAAAGAAAAAAAAAAGAGCAGCGCCCTCTGATGTAAAAAACACCTAAACATAATGCATAATGACCCTCCCACCAGCCCTGTAAACCATGGTCTTTTTTGCTGTTGAAAAAATCATGTGAACGTTGGAAATACATAAAATGAACCTAGAACACCAGAAACAAAAAGTGCACCAAGCTGTGCCTGAAGTATTCAGTAAACAGTTTAAAGCTTCTCCTACTAGCCAAGTTTGAGAAGGCACAAGTACTAAATCTAATGATTTCTGCAGTGAGACCTTAAGCCTTAGGCCTAAACATGCTGGCCCTTGAACCCAACATTCAAAATTATGTATCCCATACACCCTAGAGGAATATATCAACTCCTAAACTGAACACACTCAAGGGGAAATGATGGAAGGTAAGCAGGCAACAGTAAGCAGGAAGGTGACAGAACTGAGAAGAGAGGCTGGCCGTCTCACAGGCTCCCTAAGAGAGGGGCTGTAGTAAATAGAGTCTTGCAGCTAGACCCAAAGAAGGCTAAGCCTAGTGCATAAAGGCTGCATTCCAAGACCGAGAACAAATCTGATCAAAAGCAGCCTAGAGACCAATTATAGGCTAGAACAGAAAGTAACCTGCTCCTGTATCACTTTTACAGGAAGGAAAAAAAAACTCACAAAGAAAACAATCTTATAAAATGTATCATCAAAAGAACAAGAGACCTGTCTGATTTTAAAAGTAGTAATGGTTCCAAGAGCACCACAGATTCCTTTGAAGAAGGGAAGGAAACTACTAAGACGGCCTTAAAAGAAAAATGCAAGGGCCTGGCTTGGTAGCCTAGCAGCTAAAGTCCTCTCTGTGAATGCTTCGGGATCCCATATGGGCCCAGTTTATATCCCAGCAGCCCCACTTTCGATCCAGCTCCCTGCTTGCAGCTTGGGAAAGCAGTAGAAGACGGCCCAAAGCCTTGAGACCCTGCAACCGCGTGGGAGACACGGAAGAGTAGCTGGGCTCCTGGCTTCAGATCAGCTCAGCAGCTCTGGCCATTGTGGCCACTTGGGGAGTGAATTAACAGATGGAAGATCTTCCTCTCTGTCTCTCCTCCTTTATATATATAGGACTCCTTTATATATATATCTGACTTTGCAATAAAATAAATCTTAAAAAAATATATATATATATGAAATAACGAGAATTCAAGAAAAGCCAAAACAATTTTACTAACAAATATGGTCTAAAATGAAATTCTTTCAACAAAAGGAAATCATTGCACCACCACACTCTCATTTGAGAATATTAGCAAGCCTAAACACTACATTAAACAACAGTAAATAATCCAGTTTAAAACATGTGAAATAAAAATACAAGACAGTAAAGATGCAAAGACAAGATGTTAAGAACCTAAACAATGAAAACAGGTTATTTAGAAAGACAAAAGTAAAAATGAAAGGAGATAACAATGTAAAAATTAAAGGATGGGAAAAGATTCACTATGCAAAGCTATAAACAGAAAAAAGTTGTCATAGGGAGACTAGCAAACTTAACCTGTAAGGCAAAAAATATTCTTAAAGGTAAAAATCTTTTATGACTATTTCAAAGAGCAAATGCAATACTAAATTTCTGAACACTCAATAACTAAATATTCATACACTCAACAGCAAGCTCAAGTGTTTCTCTCAAACTTGGAATTTTTGTAAAGATTTATTTATTTTTATTAGGTCAGATTTACAGAGAAAAGGGGAGACCGACAGAAAGATTTTTCCATCTGCTGGTTCACTCTCCAAGTGGCCACAACAGCAAGAGCTGAGCCAGCCTGAAGCCAGGAGCTTCTTCCAGGTCTTCCACACAAGTGCAGGGTCCCAAAGCTTTGGGCCGTCCTCCACTGCTTTCCCAGGCCACAAGTAGGGAGCTAAATGGAAAGTGGAGCAGCCAGGATTAAAACTGGCACCCATATGGGATACCGGTGCATTCAAGGTGAGGACTTGAGCCATTAGGCTACCACACTGGACTCTCAAATTGGAATTGTTCATAATTCAACACAAAATTCTATTTTTAGTCAATGGAAAACAAATCATTATGAACCAAAATCAACCATTTTCACCTAAAAAGGAAATTTAGAGATGATCATTTGGCCAAAACTCACAAGTTCATGTCCCACACCAGAATGCCTGGGCTCAATAACTCCCTCTGGCTCCTGACTCCAGCTCTATGCTACCGCAGTTCCTACAGGCAGCAGTGATGCTCAAGTAACTAAATTCCTGCCAGACATGTGCCTACCTCTTAGCTTCAGCCCAGCCCAGCCTTGGTCCCCATAGGGATCTGGGAATCAAACAGCAGATGGAAGCTCTGTCTCTGTTTATCATTCCAATTTTCAAATACAGACCAATATTGTGGCACAATGTGTTAAGTCATTGCTTGGGATGCTTGCATCCTACGTCAGATGGCCAATTCAAATCCTGGATGCTCACTTGTATCCTATTAACATGCCTGGGAAAGCAGCAGAAGACAGCCCAAGTAGCTGGGGCCCTACCGCCTGTGTGGGAGATACAAATGGAGTTCTTGGCTCCTGGCTTCCAACTGGCCCAATCCTAACCATGAGGCCATCTGGTCAGTGAGCCAGCAGATGGAAGATCTCCTGATCTCAGTATCTTTCTCTGTCTCTTTCTCCTTCCCTTCTTCTCTGTATGTGTACCTCCCTCTCTGTCAGTTTGCCTTTCAAAAATAAATCTTTTAAAACTATAGTTACAATTCCAATAAAGAAATCAAATCATTAGAAGTACCATTTGTATGCATATAGCAACTCACAGAAAAGTATGTATTTCAAACAGAGAGGAAGCAACAGACAGATCTTCCATCCACTGGTTCACTCCTGAAATTTTCACAAAGGCCAAGGTGGGACCAGGTTGAAACCAGGTACCTGGAGCTTTCATCCATGTCTCCCACACAGGTGGGGGCGGGGCACAAGCAACCTAACTCATTTTATTTTAAAAGATTTATTTTTATTGACAAGTCAGATATACAGAGAGGAGGAAAGACAGAGAGGAAGATCTTTCATCTGATGATTCACTCCCCAAGTGACCGCAATGGCGGGTACTGCACCAATCCAAAGCCAGGAGCTCTTCCGGGTCTCCCATGCGGGTGCAGGGTCCCAAGGCTTTGAGCTGTCCTTGACTGCTTTCCCAGACCTCAAGCAGGGAGCTGGATGGGAAGTGGGGCTGTAGGGATTAGAACGGGCGCCAATATGGAATCCCGGCACGTTCAAGGTGAGGACTTCATCCACCACGCCGGGCCCTTAAGTCATCTTTTGTTGATTTTTCCAGGTACATTAGCAGGGAGTTGGAAAAGTGAAGCATCCAGGACTCAAACTGGTGCCCACATGGGATGCCAGCATCACAGGCAGCAGCTTAACCTGACGCTGGCCTTGACAGTGTGTCTTCTGAGTATGCTTTAATATACAACTTCAGAAAGTTCTTTTTTAAAATTTTTAGATCCTTCAGAATTTGAGAGATGCTTTATGATGTCTTAAAATCTTCTTGATTATAACCTCTCATGACGTGCTAACTAAATTGGTAAGATACTCAAGGAAAAAAGTCAACAGCAACATCAGACAAACTTCCCAACACCTACTTCTACACAGTGTTCTGGTTCACTTGGAATTACCACGCACCACCGTCACCACCACACAACCTGTGGCCTTGTAATCTAGGCCAAAGTACTTGCCTTTTCACACTTCTTCCAAAATCTGTTTTTACAAGTGATGAACTGTGTTTCAAAAACCATTTGTAAAACAGTATTTACAAGCAGTTTTTTGTAGATCTGTGTTACATATAGATTCATCTAAAAAAATTGAGGATGGGGATAATACTTACAATTAACTAATTCTGACACCGATTTTCTAGTCTTTACATTATTAAGCTAACTGAAATATTGGTGACAACTATCTCAACACAACTTTAAGAAACTAAGGCCTTCTCAACAGTAAGCCAAGAGGAAAAATACATCAAGTAACTCTTCCTATTTCACCCCAATCCCTGACAGTCAAGGCAACTAGCACTCAGACTTTATAAAGCTGACCTATTAGGATCACCTGTGAGGATACAGGCTGCTTCTTCCCAGGCTATTTTATAATCTTAGAAATTCATTGAACAAGGTCAAGGTGAAACAAAAAAAAATGTATTTCCTATATTCAGGCACTTTCCAATAATATAACCCAATTCAATGCCCAACCTATTTCTTTTCAGATCGCCATTTCATAGCAAAAAAAAAAAAAAGTGAAAAAATCAGGGCAAGCACTGTGGCACCTTGGGAAAAGCCTCTGTTTGCAATGCCAGTCAGTACTTCGTTCCAACTCTCTACTTCCCGTCCAGTTTCCTGTTAATGTGCCTGGAAGAACAATAGAAGATGCACTCCAAGCACTAGGAATCCTACACCCATCTGGGAGACCCACAAGTTGTTTCTGGCTCCTGGCTTCAGCCTGGCCCATCTCTGGCCACTGTAGCCATCTGGGGAATAAACCAGCTGATGTGTGTATGTGTGTGTGTGTGTGTGTGTGTTTCTCAATTTCAGATAGATAAAATCATAAAAGAAAAAGAAAAAAAAAAAAGAAAGGAAGAGAAGAGAAGACTGGGGTCAGTGCAGTGGCTTATGGGCTAATCTATCACCCACAGTACTGGCATCCCATATGAACACTGGTTCAAGTTTCAGATGCTCCACTTCTGATCCAGCTCCTTGCTAACAGCCAGGCAGCAGAGGATGGCCCAAGTTCTTGGGCACCTGAACCCACATGGGAGACCTCCAGAAAGGTGCTGGCTCCCAGTTTTGGACAGCTCAGCTATGGCTACTGCGGTCATTTAGGAAACAAACCGGCAGATGGCAGATGGAGCCCCTCTCTCTCTCCCTGTTTCTCCCTCCCTCTTTACTCAACTTTCAAGTTAAAATTAAAAAATCTTCAGGAAAAAAACATACACACACACACAAACTCAGATTAAAAAAAAATTTAAGATGAGACTATTGATTTGACCGGTATCTTTAACACAAAACCCAACTTGCTATAACTAAAACACATTTCTTTCAGAAGTCAGGCATATCCACCGTCTAAAATGACTCACGCCATATACACACTTTCAGATGTCATACCAAAGTATAACTTACAACATATTTCCTCAACTATCAGGACCTCTTTTACACATACTATTCTCCAGGTTGCAGTGAAATCATTTTTTAAATAGAGTTATTTTGCTAAATATGAATGCATTTGTTAAATGTATTCTAAAGCACATTAGTTCAGCCTAGTAATGAGAAGAATGATTTGACATGCAGATAATTCTGGTTCACCTACTAAGAGCTGTATCTACCGCCCAGTGCTTTCCGAGTCACAGTGTCTGGGAAAGCACTACGAGGGCTGAGGAGGCCTGACCAAAGAGGACAGCAGTGCACTGCAACTCCACACTTGCTAGTTATCACGGAGCTCATCTCCCCTCCCCTCGTTAATAGAGGGAGTAATTAGGCAATACTAGAATACCTGTTAACATCTTACAGAAAAACACCTGAGAACAGGTAGCTTTAACTAACATAGTTACTTACTTTGCACATGTAAACAACATATGAAATGTTTTAAAGTCCTACAAAAATAAGCTTAACACACTATATGCTTAAAATAGTGAAAGTTGGTTTGAAACACACAGTATATACCTGTATTTTGCTTTTTCATGCACCCAGACGTACTCAGGGTCTTTCAAACTCAAGCGTGCAAGGTCCTTTACAGATTTGGTTTGTGTTGCTGAGAAAAGTAAAGTCTGACGCTTCTTGGGAAGATTTTCAATGATGGCATTCATGGTGTCAGCAAAACCCATATCCAAGATTCTATCGGCCTCATCTAGAACTAAAAGAGGAAAGCAAAAATTGAAACATTTAAAATACACATTAAGAGAAATATAATCCGGTATCATAGGTCAGTACCTAAAATAGGAAAAAAAAAAAAGACATTAGTGGAAAAACTGATGAAATCTGAGCAAAGCCTACAATTTAACTATATAACATGCCAGTATGAATATTAGTTTTGACAAAGGTGTCATATTGTATAAACCACTAACACTAGGGAAAACTGAATGAAAAGTATATCACAATTCATTATTACTGCAACCCTTCTAGACATCTAGATATATTGGCACTTTGGCACAGCACACTTAGCTGCTATCTAAGATGCTGGCTTCCCAGCTCTGCTTTTCTGACCCAACTCCCTGTGAATAAGCCCAGGCAGGCAATAAAAAAATGGCTCCTGCTCTAGGCCCCAGACACTCCCAGCTGAGACCCAGCGAGAGCTCCAGGCTTAGGCTTGGCCCAGCCCCAACCAGTGCTGCCATTTGAAGAGTGAGATGGAAGATGTTTTTCTCTCGTTTTTTTCTCTCTCTCTCCTTCTCTGTGTCTCCCATTCTAAAACCCTGTCTTTCAAATAAACAAAATAACTCTTTAAAAAAAACTATAAAAACATCCTACTTACTTGTGGTTTCTGGATTTTAGAGCACAATGCTCAAAAAACTATTTCTCTCACTGTTTTTAATCAGAACATTTCTCAAATATTTCTGCCATTAACATTTATGAGGTTCTCTCCCAAATCTCAGCATGTTCCTTATTAGAAATTCATTAGACTCACCTAAAATTTGGAGATTGGTTGCGTGAAAACATATTGTTTCATCCATGTGTTGCAGAAGCCGACCCGGTGTGCAAACGAGTATGTTTATGTTGTTGATCCTCTCGGCTTCATGCTTCAGATCCTGAAAACAGTTGTTTCCTCTGATTACCCACACTCGTCACTCTGAGCAGCCTGTGTACCAACACTAAGAAATCCACCTGCATGTGGCACTTCACCATAGCAGATTATATATTCTCAGAAATAAACATGACTTCTCCCTTCTATTTTTGTAGCACATCCAAATTTTGAGGCTAAATAAAAGCCATTAGTGCTAAAAGTTCTATATTTTTATCAGGAGAATATGCCAATTCTTAATTTCCTAACCATTTGACCAGAACTGACTTAAAAGAGGAATTGCTCCCGCTCTTCCCATCAGAACTCTAGAGTCTTGAATCAGACACCCCTCACTATACTTGGTAGACTGAAACAAAAGCCAATGCGCACATCCTAGAGGCTCTCTACTTTTAACGCAGGAGAGAATGTCAGGAGCCAAGGCTGGTGGCAGGCTGAAGAGTACATGGGGGTCTGTGATGTACTCTTTCTTCTTTTGCACATGTTCACAAATAAAGTCAGAAAATCACGTGTCCAGAGGGGATTACAGCAGATACAATCATCCCACATATTCTATTAGAACAAAAGTTGAGCAAGTTTTACCATGACATAAGGAAACAGTCCTCCAATCTACTTTCCTTTCTTCTGCTACTAATGAAGCAAATGTTCTGAATTACTCAAGCTGTCAGGTAGAAAACCTTATCAAAATGCTCAAGTCCACAAACTGAAATGTTCTTTCCCAAGGTACAAGTCCAGTAACAGTAATTCTGTCTCCGAGTCTAGCCAGTTCTAATATTCTGACAAAAATGGGGCTCTCTAGACCAATGAAATTGGTACTGTAAGCCACAGTGGCCATTCACAGGTGCACCCACCCTGTGAAGTCCTGTTCAGAAAGTCAGTCAATTTACATGAAGTCTCTACCAGCCTTCTCACTAACAAACACTTTAGAACTTCATTATAGAGTACAGAAGAAAAGAAGGAAGGGTAACAGAAAAAGGACAAACCTTTCCACCAATGATGAGGCCAGCTGAAAAGTCATGATTCTTCCCCACTTTCCGGAGAACCTCGAAGGTCTGATAGGCCAGTTCTCTGGTAGGCGATATTATCAGAACCCCCAGGCCATCTGTTGAGGTCCACTGCAGACGATACAGGGCTTCCAGCACCTCAGAGAAGACAGCAATGTGTGTTCAGTAAGACAAGTGCCAAGGCAGCCTTTTGATCCACGTGTTCATCTCGCCTCTCTAAATCACAGATACCTTCCAAGTAGAAAGCACAGCCCTCAAGTTTTACCCAAAACAAGAGACTGCTCCTTTATCTTCCATCTACCAGAAGCATAAATCAAATAGAAAGGAAAAGTACGTGGTACCCCCAGCCAGTGCTACTAGAAATTTGGCTATCACAGAAGACACTCTTTTAAAAATAAAAATCTAGGGCCCAGTGAAGTGGCCTAACTGCTAATGTCCTTGCCTTGCATGTGCCAGCATCCCATATGGGCACCAGTTCTAATCCTGGCCCCACTTCCCATCCAGCTCCCTCCTTATGGCCTGGGAAAGCAGTCAAGGACAGCCCAAAGCCCTGGAACCATGCACCCATATATGCTATTCCTCTGGACCAGCGATGTTTTACAAATCAAAAATAAAAGACCAAGTGAGATATAAGTGGATTCCTAAGCACTCGCTATACTGTTAAAAAAACAGATAGCAATGAACCACAAAATTCTCAACAATCAACCAAAACCCCTGACAGCATCTTCAGGTTTAACCTAAACACAAAGCAACTGGAAATGCAACCAGCAGGCCTGCACCGAATAAAAGAAAATAATAATAATAATAATAAAGGTTTTCCGCATCTAATATAGAGCAGAACCATTCAGTGCATCCAGCACCCTTTAAGACTGTAATTCCTTCACCTAGCAAGTTAATGAGGGCACCTCAGAACCAAACAGTGTGGCTGGACCCGTGGGATACAAAGGAGCACAAAAGGTCTGGCTCCTGGGTACTGAAGCTTGCTTTCTGGACATGGAGATAAAACATAAAACTCTTTATGTAATTATTTTTTTGTATCTAAGCATAAATGTTCTGTCTATACACAGAGGAGCTGATCCAATAACTTAAGTACTTACTGGAACCAAGAAAGCCAAAGTCTTGCCAGACCCAGTCTTGGCAGCTCCCAGCACATCTTTCCCTTGCAAAGCCAACCCAATCGTCTGCTTCTGTATCTCGGTCACCACGCGGTACTGGGCTTCTTGCAAACCTGGCAGTGTGGAGGGGAGAATGACACCTTAGAAAACACCCTGCAGGATGTTGTTAGAGGCTGAAACACATCCCTGAACCTGCACGGAAGCCCGGACTCCTCGGAGCTCGGAATGTGACTAAAGGCCTTGAGGAGAGATTAAGTAAAGATGTGATGCTTGAGCCATTCCATAACATATACATATTTACAAACATCTTGTCACACACTATAAATTCTTTTTTTTTGCCAAATAAGAGGCAATAAAGAGGTAGTGACCTGCAAGCCAAGAAAGGAGGCTCAGAACAGATCCTTCCTTCAAGCCCTTAGTACATCAAGCCTGCCAGCATCTTGATCTTGGACTTCCAGCTGACAGAACTGTAAGAAAATAAATTTCTATTGTCTATGCTACCAGTCTGGCATTTTGCTATGGCAACCCTGGAAGACTCATAACAGTGGTGTCACATTTGTTTATTCCATTAATTATTTAGCAAAACTAGGTTTTTCTGTAATTATTCAGATACTTCCAGGATCTTTTTTTCAATGAAAAATTAAAATTTTACGATTAAAACTCAATTGTATAAAGGCCAGCACATTGGCTAAACTGGCTCATCCTCTGCCTCCAATTGCAAGTATCCCACAGAGCGCCAGTTTGTGTCCATGCTGTTCTACTTCCCATCCAGCTACCTACTTATGGCCTGGGAAAGCAGTGGAGCATGACTCAAGGCCTTTGGACCCTGCACCCACGTGAGAGACCTGGAAGAAGCTCCCGACTCCTAGCTTCATATCGGCTCACTTCATATCAGCTCAGTTCACACCACTGCAGCCATTTGGGGAGTGAACCAGCAGATGAAAGATCTTTTCTTGTCTTTCCTTCTCTCTATAAATATGCCTTTCCCATAACAATAAATAAATCCTTAAAAAATCCTTCATTATACACATTTTCTATATATCAAAATTATTCAACAAAGTAAGATTAGTCAGGTTAAGCTCCCTCTAAACACTCCTTTTATAAAAAGTATAAATAAATACAATAACATGCTCCCAAATCACCATATCCTTACCTTTCAGTGTCTTCTTGGACAAGGGGAAATCTGAAAATCTTGTAATTTCATTCACATTTATCTACAGGGAATAAGAGAAATGTAGAAAACAAAAGAAAATTACCTACTGTGCGATTCACTTGTTCCAAAACAAAACAGTCTATTTTCTGTAAATTGTACTGTTTAGCTCATTTTTTTTTTAAGATTGTTTTGTTGTTGTTGGAAAGTCAAATGTACAAAGAAGAGGAGAGACAAAAAGGAAGATCTTCCTTCCACTGATTCACTCCCCAGGCAGTCTCAATAGCCAAAGCTGCACTGATCCAAAGCCAGAAGCCAGGAGCTCTTTCAGGTCTCCCACGTGGGTGCAGGGTCCCAAGGCTTTGGGCTGTCTTCAACTGCTTTCCCAGGCCAAAAACAGTGAGCTGGATGGGAAGTGGGGCTGCTGGAACACAAACCAGCACCCATATAGGATCCCAGTGCATGCAAGGCGAGGACTTTAGCCACTAGGCTACTGTGCCAGGCCCACTTTGCTCATTTTTGATAATGTAAAATTGAATCAACCATCACTTCTAATTAAAAGTCATATGGCCGGCATCCCATATAGGGGCCAGTTCATGTCCCAGCTACTCTACCTCCAATCCACCTCTCTGTTTATGGCCTGGGAAAGCAGCAGAGAATGGCTCAGGTCCTTGGGAACATGCATCCAAATCGAAGACCTGGAAGAAGCTCCTGGCTCCTGGCTTTGGATCAGCTCAGCTCTGGCCTCTGCAGACATTTGGGGGGTGAACCAGCAATGGAAGATTGTCTGTCTTTCTCTGTAAATCTGCCTTTCAAATAAAAGTTAATAAATTTTTTTTTAAAGAAGGGACATCTTCCTTTTGAAATGAATACTCTGAAGAAGCTTCCTGAATAAAAAAACGTAACTGCAACATCCTTCCCCCACATCACGACCCCAAACAACCATTTCCTCTCCAAGCCAGATGTTCTGTGAAAGCAAGAACACAACACTCTCTTCCCTGTCCCCCCATGGACACAGGAGGGAAAACTGAAACGTTAATCTTACCCACCATTCCCCAACCCAATCCTCTCCAACCTAACCAGAAGTCCACACAGGTCTATAACCCCCTCATCTCTGTAATAAACATTCAAATAATTTTAACAAAAAATTAAGATAAAAATAACTAAAACTATTTCACTTAATTCAAAAAACTTCATTCAAGACACACACATGAATTTGAACAACCATAACCTCCAAAGTGAGACCAGCTCAATTCTAGGAAGAATGCATATTTGTAGTCATTCCTCAAGGAATATCATTTATTTATTTATTTATTTATTTATTTATTATTGGAAAGGAATATTTATAGAGAGAAGGAGATTCAGACAGAAACATCTTCTGGTCCATTGATTCAACTCCCCAAGAGGCCACAATGACCAGAGCTGAGCTGATTTGAAGTCAGGAGCCAGGAGCTTCTTCTGGATCTCCCATAAAGGCACAGGGTCCCAAGGGCTTTGTGCCATCCTCTATTGCTTTCCCAGACCATAAGTCAAAAGTTACATGGGAAGTGGAGCAGCCAGGCACTAGCTGATGCCCATATGGGATCCTGGCCAGTGCAAGGCAAGGCTTTAACCAGTAAGCCATCATGCTGGGCCCAAGGGCAATCAATTTAAGAAATAAACACAAACTACAGACCATAATGATATACGTTCTAGAATACACTGAAGTTAGCTGATACAAATACATCTTGACAACACAAACCTTTTAAAGGTTTAATCATCCATCAATGGCATATGATATCCAACCTAATCATACTCATTTGTGGGTGACTGAAGGAAAAGTATCATCTCAAAATAACTAGGACAAATTTGTGCAGTGATACGAAGTCACAGTACATAACATTTTACCCTTTAAAACTTTACAACTTTAATGTTATCCAAATGTTCTTTACTGATGTTCTTCATTAGCATAAACTCAATTTTCTAAATTTCATTTCAGCAGCTCAAGAGAATTACTTTATTACAGATGCTGAATGCAGGAATCACTGCTCAGATCTTGCAATATGCTGCCAAATTATTCATGATTCACAAAAGGGAAGGCTGCATTTATAAGGTTCATTTATATAAATTACACTCTAGGCAGCAAAAATATTACATTGGTATTTCATTTCATAATCTGCACATCTTTCCCAGAACTGTTAATGTTACTAGGAGGGGTTATTGTCTACTTCCAAATACTAAAAACACACATACAAGTATCACAATAGTATCTTAATCCCAGCAAATCACTCCAGGTAACACTGCAAAGTAAGCAGATGTAACATGTGCGCTAGAATTAAACAAAGGTTTATTCGAAAAGATTTATTTAATTATTTGAAAGTCAGAGTTTTAGAGAAAGAAACAGATGGATTCCATCTGCTGGTTCACTGTCCAGATGCCTGCACCAGGCCAAAGCCAGCAGCATCCCCTAGGTCTCGCACCTGGGCATCAGGTCCCAAGCAGCAGGCCATCCACTGCTGCCTTCCCAGGCCACTGGCAGGCAGACAGACCAGAAGTAGTGCAGCTGGGACCCAAATTGCCACCTTTATGGGATGCCAGCAGTGTCAAAAGGCCAGCTCCAAGAAGGGTTTATTCAAACAATGTGCTGTTCTAGCAAGAAACGTCACCCAAAACATAATCCTCCAAACAGAACTAGACTGATGTGCCAGACATCCTTACACTTGTGGTATTCTTAGCTAAAAACTGCTTTCATGAGGCTTGGGATGCCTGCAAAAGGAGGTAAACGAGCAACACACCATGCAAACCCCATCAAAAAACACAACCCAGGCAGGCACTCAAAATGCTGCACATCTTTCTAAAGCATGTTAACCCCTGGTGAGAAAGTTGAGCAGAACCAAACTGTTCCAGCACTCTACCACTATCACAAGAGAAAGCTCTGCACGACATTCCTTTTTTTTCCTAATCCAGATATACAGAAAGGAGGAGACAGAAAGGAAGATCTTCTGTTCAACGATTGACTCCCCAAGTGACCACAACAGCCAAAGCTGAGCTGAGCTGAAGCCAGGAGCCAGGAACCTCCTCCAGGTCTCCCATACATGTGCAGGGTTCCAAGGCTTTGAACTGTCCTCAACTGCTTTCCCAGGCCACAAGTAGGGAGCTGGATGGGAAGTGGAGCAGCTGGGATTAGAACCGGCGCCCATATAGGATCCCAGCGCATTCAAGGCGAGGACATTAGCAGTTAGGCCACCATGCCCGGCCCTCTACACTACATTCTTAAAAGGTCACTGAAGAAAAAAAGGAAATTAACTGCTGATGCCATAAAATATGGGTCAACAAACAATGCCTAAAGACCAAACCCAATCTGCTGCCTATTTCTGAGAAGTAGCTCTGACAGGGACTATGTGGTTCACAAGCCTAACAGACGTCTGGCTAAAGATTTACAGCGAGAATTTGCTGACCCCATTCTAGAAGATCCTTAGTAATATTCCAAGTAAGCATTTTGAAGCCAACAAAAGATAGCTATACTTCCTGTCACAGAAAACATTCTCTGTCCTTCCCTGCACACCTTTATCAGAAAGAAAGCAAAAGGCACTAGGCTAAACGGTTAAGACTGCTTGGGGCCCGGCATGGTACCCTAGCAGCTAAAGTCCTCGCCTTGCACACACCAAGATCCCATCTGGGCGCTGGTTCTAATCCTGGCAGCCCCACTTCCCATCCAGCTTCCTACTTGTGGCCTGGGAAAGCAGTCGAGGACAGTTCAAAGCCTTGGGACCCTGCACCCGTGTGGGAGACTCAGATGAAACTCCTAGCTTCTGGCTTCAAATTGGGGCAGCTCGGCAGTGCAGCCACTTGGGGAGTGAATCAGCAGACAGAAGATCTTTCTCTCTGCCTCTCCTCTTCTCTGTATATCTGACTTTCTGACAAAAATAAATGAATAAATCTTAAAAAAAATAAATATAAAAAAAAAGACTGTCTAGAGTGCCTATATTCGACATCAGAACGCTTGGGTCCACAGGACAACTCTAATCCAGCTTCCCGCTAACGTGCATCCTGAGAGGCAGCACAAATAAAGTATGCTTAAATTCTTAAAAATTCCATCTCTAAATCCTTTCACACCACCTAGAATCTGTATCACTATTCATTGAGACAATAGTAATGTTAGGAATGGACCTTATTAAACACTTTCAATGCCGGTGGAAAAGCTGAAGGGAACAGAAAAGAGAATAGGGTAGCTATCACTTAAGCAGTCTCTTACTTACACTTTTTAAGACTTTATAATACATACTTCTCAAAAAATGAATAACATATGGAATAAGAAGCATAAAATCTTCTTAGAATGGTCCTGACCTACTGCAATCAAATCACGTCACATCACACCAAACTTCAAGTTAAAAACAAAGCCAGGATGAAAAGGTAACATCTACAGAGCAGGCGCAGAGTGTGAACCATTCAGGAACAGTGAAAGCATTGCTGAACTAAAACAAATAGCTCAATGAATCTCAGTAAGTCCTAACCCCAAGTTCTACATCAGCTCCGCCTGGACACACTCGCTCTGAGCTGACCTTGGAAACACAGCCTACTGGGAGCATACCTGAGCGACAGTGCCGGGGTCCTCCCTCTAGGCCCCCTACTGAAAGCCATTCTTCCAGGCTGCTCTCAGCTAACAAGCAAGCTCAGGGCAACACAGCAGTCAACCCTTCGCTCACAGTTTGATTTTCCTCAGCCCAAATTCATCACAGAAAATCCCAGAGTCAACCTCGAATTCTGTTACCTTTATTACAGTACATTGTCATAATTACTCTATATCATTATTATTAGTGTGCCTTTTAACTTCAATGTGGCTATAATGAGAAAAGTACAGTGTAACATGGAATTCAGCATTATCCCTGGCTGCAAGCATCACTAGGTTCTTTAAACACAGACCCCACAGGGAAGAGGAGATCTTGTACTGCTGCCGATCCATCGCTGCATGCTGAGCGAATCCGCTAACGGACTACTCAGGAACAAGAACTCATCAGCCCTGCTGAAGCTTTCATACAACTAGTCTACAATCTAAGTCTTTCTACCTGCTCCTTCTTCCATCTTTCCTTACCCTCCCTATTTCTCATCTTTCTCCTTCAATCTTCAAAGACATTACACACACACACAAGTCCACTTCTCCCACACCCACTTTGGAATCTACTTGAGTAGACCTGGATTAACAATCTCCTAAGTAGTCTCCTAGCCTCCAGACCATTTACAGCTCATATGCATTCTCCCATTGTGTCCCAGAAACTTAACCCTGCTTCCAGATACAAGGTCTGAGTACAATCTCTCCATCCACTTTCTACTATCATAACAAATGATCCTAGTGTCTTAATTCAACATAAATGCATTACTTTACAGCTCTGGAAGACAGAAGTTCAAAACAGATTCCACTTGGCTAAAGTCAAGTTGTTAACAACACTGCATTCTTTCTGCATGTGCATTCCCAAAGTTCATTTCCTTAGCTTCTCCACCAGAGGCAGCCCGTGCTTCCTGGTTATGACACCTTTCTCTTGCAGCCAGCAATGGACATGAACTCTCACACAAAGGCAGTGTGACAACAGTTCATGCGCCTCTTCCTGTTCCTTTCACAGGCCCTTGCAATTTCTCTGGGTCCATGCAGATAAGGCAGGGCAATCACACGACATCTGCCATCCTAGCCTATGCAGCTTCCAGGGACACGATGTGTACATCTTGAGGACGCCACTATTCCTCCTACCCCAGCCTCCAACAGCTATTCACAAGCCACCTTCCACTCTCCTCTCCAAGCCCTTCCGAAGCCAATTCAAAAGCACATGCAACAGGGCCCGGTGGTGTGGCCTAGCGGCTGAAGTCCTCGCCTTGAACGCACCAGGATCCCATATGGGCGCCAGTTCTAATCCTGGCAGCTCCACTTCCCATCCAGCTCCCTGCCTGTGGCCTGGGAAAGCAGCCGAGGATGGCCCAAAGCTTTGGGACCCTGCACCCATGTGAGAGACCTGGAAGAAGTTCCTGGTTCCTGGCTTCAGTTCGGTGCAGCACCGGTCGTTGCGCTCACTTGGGGAGTGAATCATTGGACGGAAGATCTTCCTCTCTGTCTCTCCTCCTCTCTGTATATCTGACTTTCCAATAAATAAATAAATCTTAAAAAAAAAAAAAGCACATGCAACAATCCAAGGAGAAAAAGGTCATCTCCAAACAACTTCACAAAAAAAAAGAAATGGGACAAAAAAAAAACAAGTAGTTTTATTTTGGTGCAAAATATTTTTTAAATTCATGCACTTTTTTGAAGACCACTCATACATCCTTCCTTGAAGAACACGTTATTTCCACCTCCTTTACCACTTTACCTTGCTACCTTTACCTAGAATGCTCCTGCCAATCCTTTCCATATGCTAAACTCATCATTCAAAAACCAGTTCCACTCATGGCTACCACACAGTTCCGGACAGTTTGCGCCCTGCACAAATGCACCTCCGAAGGATGAGGTACTGGGGTTTGAATCTGGCCATGCTGAGCTCCCAAAGTCAGGTCTGAGGCTGCGACACTCAGGAAGAAGGATAACATGCCCAAGAAAACATGTGTTTCCTAAGGGATCCAGCCCGGAACTCCTTAATGACAGCTCATATCTAAATTTCGGTCTTTCTGTCTTTTAAAAGGTGCTGAATTACTATTCTTTGATGCTGGGCAGTTTTCAGTCAACCACAAGATTGCACTGTAAATCTTCTGTTTTAGCTTCATAACTATTGTTAACTTTGTTTCATGACTTCTCACTTAAGGCATTGTGCAATGACTGTGCAATAGGGACAAGGCAGTATGCATCTCTACTTCCAAATCTCTACTTCCAAAGATGGACTCCCAATGAAACTGTTGGACAAATCTAAAAAACGGAATACTGTAACTGTGACATTATCTGTACCAGCAATGTCAAGGCACACTTAAATAACAGACTAATGGAATCATGATAGCTTATGAAGGACTGTGCTATTGTCTTCATGGTTGGGGTTCTGAGATCAACAGCTCAGTTGGAGGGATCCACAAAGAATCTTTATCTGAGGTGATCCCAGTCCTGATTCTTATGTGTGCATGCCAGTACAGGGTCTGGCACCGCCCATCGCCCCAATCAGCTTATGCATATTATAATACTATGGGGGAAAATCAGTTGGGGGTGTGGGAATTTGGGGAGGGGTAGGGAAAATTCCAGACTCTGTGGGATTGTACCATAAAAACCATAAATAAGTAAATGAAAGAAGTACAAAGGTAGATGTAATATAGAACATCTCTCTGGAGTCAGAGGAGTTACACAGCCATAGTCAAGGAATTATGGCAGCGCTGAGAAGCTTTAAAAAGAAAAGAAAAAAAAAAATGCCTGGCATTGATAAGGAAATCACAGGCAGACTCAAAATCCAGCAAATCTATAGCAGGCTGATTTTTAAGTTGCGGATTTTATATGGCCTGCAAATGATGTTCCAAATATCCAAACGTTGCCTGCCAGAAGAAAGGTTTCCCGCTCTCGCCAACCCTCCCCAATCTCCTACCTCTCCTCCCACCCCACCCCCAATCGGCCCCCTCACACCCGGGACGCAGACACCTAGATTTCTAGGAAGTTGATTCACATTTTGCACCTCCAGAACAACAGGGAATAAACTTCTGTTGTTCCAAACCACAAGATTTGTGTTAACTTCTTACAACTGCAACAGAAACTTAATATGGCAAATTATGAATTCAGGAGGGGTAGCTGTTTTATGAGAAAAAGATAATGACCTTCAGCTGCTAGCATAACCTGTGATATCTATGATACCCTGAAGACATCTAGGGCAGCCAGAAACAAAACACAGAAAGCTCTGGACAGAACACAAGAGTCCATGGTCCTCAGGAACAAACTAAGGAAATGACTGAGACAACATTCCCTAAGCCAGCCTTCCCTACACCTTAGCCCTAAGCAACTCCAGTCACAATCCAAAATGAAATATAATAGTAACTTCCTTTACAATGGCTGCTTAAAGTGCTTTAGTAATACACAGAATATCTATACCTGCCATAACCTCACTAAATCACCGACCACAATGTATACGGTAGGTACTATTGTTTTGCCTTTCGAAGACAAAGGGAACAGAGTAAGCACCTATCCTGAAGCCACACATCTAGTGAGCAGGAGTCAGATCAAATGTGATCATCTGAACCCCAAAGTTCAAATTCTAAAATGCTAACCTCTACCTCCTTACTAAATTGATCTGAGGGTCATTTGCAATAAGACTAAAGACAAGTAATGACAATAATCCAGGAATCCTGTGAAATCACTTACTATATTGCCTTAGAAGGGAACAGTCACTGAGAGGCCATGCAGGGCGGGGGAAAGCCAGCAGGCAAGGGATGGAGGTGGAAAGGAACTGACACTTCTGGCAGGGTTGGGGTAAGAGATCAGAGCGCCCAGGGATACTCACCTTGGGAGTACCACTGACAGCGTAGGGATCACAAGGACACAAAGCAAAAGAGGCAAAGGGGAGAGCCACAGGATCGAGGGCGTTGAGGGAGGAAGAATGGGTTAACAGTGAATAGCATGGAGCTGGCGTTGTGAACTAATGGGTTAAGCCACTGCCCCCCATGCCCGCCTCCCATATGGACACCAGTTCAAATCCAAGTCGCTCTGCTTCCTATCCAGCTCCTTCACCTTCCTGGGAAGGTAGACAATGTTCCATACGCCTAGGCCCCTGAACCCATCTGCAACACCCAGAAGAAACTTCTTAGCACCTGGCTTTAGCCCAGCCCAGCCCTGGTCATTGTGGTCATTTAGGGAGTGAACCAGCAGATGAAAGATCTCACCATCCCTTTCCCTGTAATTCTGCCTTTCAAATAAACAAAATAAATCTTTAAAAAAAAATAGTGAAAAACCACGGCCGGGGTGAAGACGCTGCCTGCAGTGCTGGCATCCCATATGGGCAATGGGACGTCCCAACTCCTCCACTTGCCACCCAACCACCTGCCAAGAGCCAGAGAAAGGCAGCACAAGATGGCGCAAGTACTGGGGCCCTTGCCAACCTCTATGTGAGACCGGAATGAAACTCCTGGCTCCTGCCTAGCCATTGCAGCCATTCCCGGGGTGAACCAATGGAATATCTCTCTAATAAGTAAGCCTTTAAAAACAAAAATTATTGAAGAGCAAAGGAATTAGACATGGGTGTACTTGCAATTCCACAGCACCTATTAAGTATAAGGGCTTGGGACAAGTTTCTTACCCTCTTGAAGTTTCATTTCTCTCATCTGTAAAGTGGGAATATTATGATCCATAACGGCTGACCGAGCGAAAGCACAAGAATAAAGCACACAAGGAGGGCTACCAACGTGGCGTCGACTACATCACTGTCACTAGTAATAGTACTCCGTAAGTTCGGAAGAAGAGATAGCACTGGGCTCCCTTCCCTCAAATTCCACTGCATTTCCGTGCTTCTTTTCGCAAACGGCATAATGACTAAAGGGTGGCCAGGATAAGAGAGGTGTGAGGCGAGGAACCCGGCACTTACCCAGGGACCCTGCTTACACCTGACCCGCATCCTCCTCTCGGCCTGCTCCCCAGGCACCGGGCGGCCCGACCCCGCAGTGGCACGCTGCCCGGCCGCCGGAGCCCCCTGCCCAGCACCGGCCTCACCTTCCCGTAGTTCTCCACGAGGAGGCTGATACCCTCGCGCTCCACCTGCCATTCGGGCTTCTTTTGCTGTTTCCTCAACTGCTTCTTCTGCTTCTGTCTGTGACTGTGTTTCTTCTTCCAGCGATTAAAGCTGCGCACCGGGTCGAGCCGCGCTCCTGGAGCCCGCCGGTCAGCAGTTTTGCCCATGGCTTTGGGCAACAGCACACACGACCCACAGACACGCAGACCAACCGGAGGAGCGGTCCTCAGGCGTGGGGGAACCCGCAAAAAGCGCATGCGCGAACCCAGGCGCCCGCCCCCGCGCCTTCGATACCGGGGCACGAGCTGATGACGTCCCGGACAACTGAGCGACCATTGGTGACTTGGCTTCCGCAGGGAGGAGCGGTGTCGAGGAAGGGGCGGGGCGGTCCGAGCGAGAGGGCGGTTCCCAGAGGCGCCCGGAGCACGCCGGCTCTTTAAAAGCACGCATGCGCAGTTGTCGCCGTTGCTATGGTGTTACTCCACTTAAAGAGGAGGTTCAACTTCGCAAATACCGTGAAACAGCTGCCCAAAAGCAAACAGCTGGTTAAAAACTTCCAATTTCTCTCCACTTAAGTTCACCTCCTTAGGAATAAACACACATTATGATTCCTGAGTTTGCACTTTCCCTTGGGTCCCTGAAACAACTGCAGCAGCGTGCCAACAGGAACAGAGAATAAATTAAGTTTTGGGAGTAAAATGCTGCTATTATGAAGATGAAATGATGATTAAAGCAAAGTAAGAATGGAAACGCTATTTGGAAACTGGTTATTCAGTTAATTGGCGTTCGCATCATTGGTTTTTCTTTTCTTTTTAAAAGGATATTTACTTAGTTCCGCCACGGGGTGCACCTGGGACAGTCCCACAATGGCAATAAAAATTTTGGAACTGGATTCAAAGCTCACATACAGTGTCGGGGACCTGAAAGTCCTCCTGCGGCCCCACCTAACCAGGGGACGGTTCCCAGCCACATGTCTACCCCTCAAGCGGGGATGGTTTATGGTGGGAGAGGGCGAGTCAGCAGAATCTCCATACTCAGGAATACTAGATGTGGTCGTGAGTAAAGCTCTGTAAGTGAAAGTCGTGTGGAAATATAATCACACCTTCAAAAATAAAAAACAGAACTAGCACTAGCCCACCAATTCATCTTCTGGGTATATTCTCAAAAGAATTGAAGAAAAGGAACTCAAAAAGACTTTTGCTTACCCCTGTTCATAGCAGCAGTGTTCGCAATTACTAGAGAAATGGAGAGACAGAAAGATCTTCCATCCACTGGCTCATTCCCCACTTGGCTACAACAACAGAAACTGAGCTGATCTGAAGCCATGCATTTTATAATGATTTCAAAATCAGCTTCATTGTTTATTCCAATGTTTCACTGAACTAAAAGGCAGTTGCATATATAATTTTCATATAGATTTATTTATTTATTTATTTATTTTGCTGTATTGGCTCAGGAATACTCAAGGTCTCCTCCCTGTTATCTGTATAGAAATCAGTGAATTTATTTTGTTTTCTCTTTCCATTGTTCAGTTATTCCCATTTTTCAAGGTCATATAAAGCAACCATTGTCAGAGCATATGATATGGTCTTCAGGGATCATCCCACTTTTTGAGAATTAAAATTAAAATTACATTGATTTGATAGTCATCCTCATTCTTCTGTCCAAGTGCCCAAATCCCTTATTTAATGAGAGTTTAAGAACACAATATTCCCTGGATGGCAACAGGCTTGAAAAAAACTTTTTTTTTTCAGTAGCCACAATACTTAAACAGTGTAATTGGTTATAAAGTCTTTGGTTCTCAAATTTTTCCTCAAATTTCTATGAATCGTTCTTCATCATTGTACTAGTATTTTGATACAATGTCTGCTATCATCTTAATTTTCTTTCCTTTTCAATTAATTTCTTTTTTTACTTTTATTATTATTATCATGTTATGATACAGTTCCATAGGCCCTGGGATTTGTCTTACCCCCTTCACTAGTCCCTCCCTCTCACTGAGTTCCCCTATATCATTACTATAGTATAGTCCATCATTCACAGTCATATGTCCATCATTGCGGACATGGACAATGGCAGAGTCCAGCATCCTGTTGTCAACATACAGTAAACAGTTTCATTGGGAGTCCATCTTTGTCTGGAAGTAGAGATGCATACTGCATTGTATCCTCACATCTGGATATGATAGTCTCCATTACACAATTACTATACATCCCCTTAAGTGAAAAGCCACAATACAAAATCAACAAGAAAGAAAAATATAAATTTACAATGCCATGAAGTTCTCAGGAGGTTTTGATAGTTCAACAGTACTGATTTGTTGTCAATCCCACCACTCCAATCACAATGAGAGCTCTCCAGAATCCACTGGCTGCTATGGTCCAACTTAGAGCTTCCGTCTGCTGTGATATTCACTGCCAATGCTTGATTGGAGTAGTTGATCAATTTGTTATGTCCTCAGTCCTCTGGTACCAGGCTCCTCTGGAGGGTCCAATGTACTGCTCTATCCTCCATATGCATTTGGATATGACATCCACTGCACTATCCGAGCCACTGAGGAAACCCAGCTCTGACACATACACTCCACAGTCAGACCATCGAATCTGCAGTTCTCTCCATGGTTGGGGTTCTGAATCCAGTGGTTTAGTTGGTAGGAAATCGCCAAAGAAGCCTCACCTGAGGTGATTCTAGACCTGATCTTGTGTTTGCCAAAACAGGGTTCGGCACAGTCTGTCACCCGAATTAGTCCACACATGCCAAAGTCCAGCTCCAGCCGAGTTCGGAGTTCAGGAAGGGTACGTGGAGTCGGCGATAAAGAAAGACAGACACACACACTTGGTGCGTTCTCACACAGCTCAAGTAAAAGCTGTCCTTTTTATATATTCAGACACCTCTCAAGCTTCTACACAAGCAACTAATTGTTCTATTTTTTACTTCAACACTAGGGGGCATGTACAGACATTTGGTGACTCTGTCTGCACTTCAAGGCTAAGCAGGTGCCCCTAAAGATAATTCTGCAAAATACTGTATTCATATTCTTCAAAGCAAGCCATTATTTATTCTTCAACAGCAGCCATGGAGCAACAGCCAGGACTCCAAGGCCAAGGCACGTGTGATTACCTGCTAATCAGGAGTACATTCCTACCACATTTCTATTTCTATAATTCACCCATTATTTAATGGGAAAATAGGTTACAAGGGAAAGACCTAAAATCTAAAACAGAAATTTCGAATGTTAAATTTCCCTACAACTATAGATTCTACAACCCCATAAACAATGAAACAATAATCAAAAGCATTTTTCTTTAAGCATCCTTAATTCCTCTAGCTAAAAGTTATAAAAGCAACTAAAACAATCACATTTTCTATGCTCCAAAAAATTGCAAAGACAGGCTAGCCATAGCAGTTATTGCCATAGCAGTTTCAGCTCTCACTCCCATCACTTCCATTACTTTGTAAAATTCTTATTAAGCCATTTCCCAGAAGGCATGCTATATGTCTGGGCCCAATTTCAGGGCAATGAGCAGGCACACAATAAGGTGTCCAGAAATGGCATGGGTTTAATTGTACTCCTCTGCGCAGTTAAAGGTCCACTCACCAAGACATTATCAATAACATTAACTTTCAAGCTCATGTTGGTGACAAAAGCCATCCCACAGAGGCAAACAATGCCTCAACAGATTACAGAATTCTTAGTGGGGTGCTTGAGTTTCCATGCAAAAAGGGGGTGAGACTGCGTCAAGGTGGTCAAAGAGAAATCCGCCAGACCCTGGCAAACAGCTGGAAGCTCCCCCTGGCCCTACCAAGCAGGGGAGCTGTTCTCTTCACACCTTCGTGTCATCCACACCCACTGCATGGACCTGAGCACATGCACACACTAGTAGTTGCAGTTGCTGGGTCAGTTCTGTCTCCAGTCTCGTGTTTTACGCAAACCAAAGGATGGGAACCTGCCCACCACATACTTGGCCTTCATGCAAACTAGTGGAAGTTGCAGCCTCATCGAAGCAACACAATAATCCTCACCAGGCCTGCCCCCTACCCTGATTCCCGTGCTTGCCAATATGTACAGCTGACTGTTCCCGTCTGTCTCATCTCTCATTTGGCTCTCATACATGTCAATAGGCATTAACGCGCAGTTCATCTCAATCATCCCCACTATCCTGTCCACACATGTGCCGGCGGGTACCATCATCTGTCTAGCAATACCTACAACTGACAGAATTCGCCCTACACCCCCACCCCATGCCAGTATCTGCTACCTGATGCTGCAGCAAAGCCCAACCCACCCACATCCACTCTGGCTTAGGCATGAACCAGAAGGTACAGTCAGCCCAGTCTGGCCTTTCCCTGATCCAGCTCACATTTAGGCCATCAGATGTTGTGGCCCTGCCCGGCCTGGTTTGCCCACATCCCAGCTCTCATGCTAACCAGAGGGAATAGTGGCCTAAAAGGGGGGCCCCTACTGTGGCCATCCCCACTACCACATGGATTTCACATGTGCTGGTTGGGTGCTGCAGCCCAGTCTGGCACAGCCTGCCCCACTTCAGCATTTGCCAGTGGGTGCTACAGCCTGGCCAGGCCTGGCCCACCGCCAATTCCAGCTCACTCTGGTCGGGGCCACAGCCTAGCCCAGCTCTGCCAGCCCCCAGTCCTGGCCCTAATGTGGACTGGATGGTATTGCAGCCTGACCCAGCCCAACCCATACTCCATTCTGGCACTCAGATTTTCCAGCAGATGATGTAAACTCACCCATCCTGTCCTGCCCCCACCTGCCCCAAATTTATGCTAGTGGGTACTATATTTTGGCCAGGTCTGGGCTGCTCCCTGTCCTGGTTCTTGCACTTACCTGCAGGGAATGTGTCCCAACAGAGGAGTTCCCCAAGCTCCTCCAGCAGGATCTCTCCCAAGCCAGATCTCATGCCCACCGGTGGGTCCATGGTACAGCCGCATTCAGTCCACCTCCTGTCCCACAGGAACAGTGGCCTAATTTCCTGAACGGCCCTCACCATTCCGATTCTTGTTGTCGGGTGCTACAGCCCAGCCAGGCCTGGCCCACATCCAGACACAGCTCACACATGGCTCAGCAGGAGCAGAGATTTAGCCTAGCCCATCCTACACTCTCCCTGGTTCTCACGAGCACCAGTGTGTGCTGGAGTCTAGCCCAGTCTGGCACATCCCAGACTCAGCTCACACCCATGCCAAGGTACCCTGTAGCCATATCCAGACCAG